AAAAAAAAAAAAAAAAAAAAGAACTAGTATTGATATGTTGATTTTATTATCGCTACATGATCTAGCAAAGGGCCTTGACAATGAAAAAAGCTCTCCTGCACTACTGAAGAGATCATACCTGCCACAGGCAACCACCTGAGATATATTATCGTCTTATTGACATTCTTTTCCTCTCACATTGAAAGCTTATCTGTAGCGAAGTCTTACTAGGATCAAAGAGGAGTGTTTGCACGGATCAAGCAGAATTGAAGAGCAGGTTTGCTGGAGGAGCTGACCTTTTAGATAGGGTCCTCTCCTCATGCTTTATGGTCTTGCTTTTATCGTAAAGCCTGATGATTATAACAGGGAAGCCCTAGTAGTACAAAGTATAGGCTCTGGAATAAGATAGTTGTGTGTTCAAATCATGGGTCTCCCTGAATTAGTTGGACAATATAGGGTGATGTAAATTTTTATCGGAGCCTTAGTTTTTGCCTCTATAACATGAAGATCACACAGGATTTTATAATAATTAATATTAATACATTAAAACAAGTAGTAAGGAATTAGCTAAGTAAGCTCAGTATGTATGGACTACGACAATACTCACCTTTTGTCCCTAAGCATTAACTGAGCAACTACTATAGGCTGGGTGCCATACAGGTACTGGAGGTAAACCGTGCCATCACATCATCAATGGGGAAGACAGAGGAGTCACTGAGGGTTGGCCTACAACCGGACAAGTGTTAGGGCATAAATAAGAAGAGGTAGCACCATCATGACAGACTGGACCAGGAAATTGTCAGTAATAATCAGGGAGGGTTTCCTGAGGTACTACTTTGAAGAGGCTTAAAGGTAGAGGCGTGGACAGAGGACAGAGGGGCCTGCGGGAGGATGCAGAAATCTGGAAAGCCTGGACATCTGGGAAGGTCGAGGGTTCCAACAAAACCAAGCTTTTTAGATTTGTAGATTTGTAGGATCCTAAGGGATGTCGATTTGCTTTGTGAAAGGGTTTGTGCTTTTTTTCCTGAAGGGACAGGGAGGCACTTGTGGATACAGCCCTCCCTCTTAGAAAGTTTAAGTGGGGACCATCGAGTTAAGAAAGTGTCTTGTATTACGGTATTAATATAGGTTGAGAGTCTTCAAACATGATCTTCCATCCTGCTTAAGCCTCATGGGTGACCTAACTCATTTCTTTGTAATTTCATGGTCAGCCAGAGATACTAAATGGGATTGCAGAGGTCAAATTCGAAGCCATACATACATAAATATATCCCATAATAAGCATTTTAAATACGCATCCGTTCCTTTGGCCAAACTACTGTGTAGGCAGAATATAAAACCCATTGCTAAGCCTCGGTCTCCTCCCTTCCTTCCCTCTTTCGCAGCGCAAACAGCAGTCCCAAGCCTGGGACAGAGGGTGCCGGCTCAGACAAGCAGTGCCTCCTAAGCGATGATTAAAAGGCAGGCGCGCGGAGGTCGGGCGCGGGCCCGGAGGGAGGCTGCGCATGCTCAGTGCGCGGGGC